CAACTCCCAGAATTCTGGCTGGGGAATTCTGGGAGTTGAAGTCCACACATCTTCAAGCTGCCATGGTTGAGGAACACTGGTGTAGAAGGAACGTTCCAAGCTTTATGGTCAGTCACTTACAAAACTGCTGCTGTTAAAACGGACCAAGCCACAAACTCTTAAAACAGCTCACTCGCGCGCACACACAGAGCATCCGAGACTGGAAGGGTCAGAAGGGATCTTGGAGATCACCTAGTCCAACCCTTGGCCCAGCAGGACTCCATGGTTCCAGCAGCCCTAACCGATGGCCACCCAGCTTCCGACCTAAACACCTCCACGAATGGTTTGCTTTCCCACGCTGTGCTCTAAAGCAGGGTGTGGAAACCACAATGGAAATGACAGAAGGCCAAAATGAAGTCAGCCACACAATGGCTCAAGGCAACCTTGTGCAGACTCAGATGACTGACTGCAAATCCTTGGTCACAAGTCGATTTCCACATACCCTTAAAGGGAGCAGCAGACCTCTGCTCGCATCCCAGTCTGAAGACTGAGATGTCCCTCAACACCGCACAATACACTTCAGCACGAAGAGACCCCAAATCTGCAAGCAATCATTCCAGCAAGGAGCAACAGGGACCCAGGAAGCTACCTTCTACTTAGTCAGATTCTGCCTCATCTCTTCCAGTATTTGTCAGCATTATCTACCAGCAGCTTTCCAGGTTTCTAGTACAGGGAGCCCCCAAGTTAAGAACGCCCAGTTTACGGACAACCCATAGTTAAGAACGGAGCCCACTGTAGCAAAATTGAAGTTAAATGCACAATGATTCAATGGTTTGAGTTCATTACACAATACTACTTATGCAGTATTATACAATAATACTGTTCCGGCTTACGTACAAATTTGACTTAAGGACAGGGCTTGGGAACGGCACTTGGTCTTAAACTGGGGATTGCCTGCAGACCTTTTCTAGCCAGGAAGTGAACCTCCTCCTCTCAACAACAGCCCCAATGTTCAGATCTATCAAGCACCCCCTGCCACCCAGAGCTGTTACCTCAAAGTTTTCACTGACTTCTTGCATCATCTTCAGTTTCGTTTCGTCGGCTGCAAAGCAAGAACGAAAGGCAAGTGATTAAATATATTTGAAGTGCAGCAGAGAGGTATGATTTGAATTCACTTAAAGAAGCAATCAGATCTTATCAGTTTGACTCTCACGACCCCCATTTTAAGCTTCACACATCACAATTCCCAGCCATGCATCTTCACACACATTCATCTCCATGCACTCACACGCAAGTTATTTTTGTGGGGTTCAAGGAAAATAGTGCTCATCATTTGCTTCTTTGTCTGTACATGTCTGAAATTGCACAGCTGTGTGCAAATCTGGGTTTGTAAATTATCAGCTGTCCTCACATAGGCATTCTCTCCCCTCTCCAGTGCAAAATGCAATTGAGCATCCACTATTAAGTTTCTCAAACTCTGGGTCATGACACAAACACACCCCTCAGAGAGGTAGTCCTCGCTTAACAACCACAATTGAGACCAGAATTTAGGTTGTTAAGCGACCTAAAAGTTTTCCAACCTTTTTCTGGTGGTCATTAAGTGAATCACATGGTCGTCAAGTGAATCCCGCAGTTCCCCATTGACTTTGCTTGTCGGAAACTGGCTGGGAAGGTCGCAAACGGCGATCATGTGACCCCGGGACACTGCAACTGTCGTAAGTGCAAGCTGGTTGCCAAGCGCCCAGATCGTGGTCATGTGACCATGGGGGCACTGTGGCAGTCATAACTTCGGGCACTGGTTGTAAGTCACCTTTTTAGCACTGTCGTAACTTCGAATGATCGCTAAACAGTCATTAAGTGAGGACTACCTGTACAAACAACTTGCAGGTGGTGCCCCAAACATTTTAAACTTGATCAGGCTTTGGCAGGCAAAATGGGAGAGCTATCAAAACTCGCTCTTGGTTTTGGTTTGTGCTTTGCCTGCTTCATCTGTGGGCTCTTCTGGCAAAATGGGAGCAAGTTTTGACAGCACCCACGTGTGCCTGCACAATCCTGCACCGGGCAGTTATGCTACTCCAAAGGTTGAGAGTTCCTGTGATGTGTGGAATTTAATTATGAAAAGTAGCATATTTCTTTCTTGGGCAGCTGTAACCACAATAAGGTCATTCAATTCATTCAGCACAAATTGTTTTAGCATTTTAGTGGTATTGCAAAGTTGGAGAACTGGTTGATTAACATCGCTTATATATTCAATCTCAGCCATGCACATTTTAAGCTGTGTTTTCTGATCACGGCAATGTTTTCTGGATTCCGGCTTTTTCTGCTCAGAAAAGGGAATAGCAATCAGGAAGCGTGTCCTAAAGCGCTTTCCTCTTACTGGCAACCCAACATCCTGAAGAATGCTGGCTTACCAATTAGTGCTAACAAGCTAGTGGTCAAATGAGGACTTTTATGACCACCCACGCTTAGCAGTAGATTACTAAAAAAAATTCAAGTTCAAGAATTCACCATTCGATAAGAAGTCAACAGGAGAGGAAAGAGTATGCCCTCTGGAAGATAACTCACAATTTGCCAACTACAACTCGCACAAACCAGAGCCGAAAAGAAACTTACGTGTGTTAGCATCCGTGAGAGCCGCCACAAACTGGAGATACTTTTTCATTAAGGTGGTCTGGTCGACCACGGTGGGCCCCTGGGTTGAAACAAATGCCATTTTGCTTCTGAATGTAAGTTCGTGTTTAGGAGGGAACGGAAGAGTTCAAGTATCAGCCTGCCTAGAAGAAAACAAAAGGCAGGGCTATTTTACCATCCTTACACAGATCCCGTGATGTTACAGGCATAGGAGAGATGCAGGATGATTCAACCATAGGCTGGGTCTAAGCCCTAATCCAGAGTTTGTTTCAAAATAAATTAATCTCCAGTGCTTTAGAAAAAAGGCTCTAACCTTTTATTGTTGGGGGCTGCAATGGGGCACCAAGCTACGCCAATGCATTTTTCTAAAGCAGTGTTTCCCACCCTTTGCAAATTTCAATTGGTTTGGGAATCAACAACCACACCCTCTCCCTCCCCCAACACTCGCTGCTGGGAAAAGTTTTT